TGTCGTCGGCAAACTTAATGATGGTGTTGGAGTCGTGCCTGGCCATGCAGTCATGGGTGAACAGGGAATACAAGAGGGGACTGAGCACGCACCCCTGAGGGGCCCCCGTGTTGAGGATCAGCGTGGCAGATGTGTTGTTACCTACCCTTACCACCTGGGGGCGGCCCGTCAGGAAGTCCAGGATCCAGTTGCAGAGGGAGGTGTCCTTAGCTTAGTGATGAGCTTTGAGGGCACTATAGTGTTGAACGCTGTGCTGTAGTCAATGAATATCATTCTCACGTAGGTGTTCCTCTTGTCCAGGTGGGAAAGGGCAGTGTGGAGTGCAATAGAGATTGCATCATCTGTGGATCTGTTGGGGTGGTATGCAAATTTGGGTGGGTCTAGGGTTTCTGGGATAATGGTGTTGATGTGAGCCATGACCAGCAGTTCAAAGCACTTAATGGCTACAGACGTGAGTGCTACGGGTCGGCAGTCATTTAGGCAGGTTATCTTATTGCTCTTAGGCACAGGGACTATGGTGGTCTGCTTGAAACATGTTGGTGTTACAGACTCAGTCAGGGACATGTTGAAAATGTCAGTGAAGACACTTGCCAGTTGGTCAGCTCATGCTCGGAGTACACGTCCTGGTAATCCATCTGGCCTTGCGGCCTTGTGAATGTTGACCTGCTTAAAAGTCTTACTCACATCGGCTACGGAGAGCTTGATCACATAGTCGTCCAGAACAGCTGATGCTCTCATGCATGCTTCAGTGTTGCTTGCCTCGAAGCGAACATAGAAGTAATTTAGCTTGTCTGGTAGGCTTGTGTCACCGGTCAGCTCGCGGCTGTGCTTCCCTATGTAGTCTGTAATAGTTTTCAAGCCCTGCCACATCCGAAGAGCGTCAGAGCCGGTGTAGTACGATTCAATCTTAGTCCTGTATTGACTCTTTGCCTGTTTGATGGTTCGTCGGAGGGCATAAAGGGATTTCTTATAAGCGTCCGGGTTAGAGTCCCGCTCCTTGAAAGCGGCAGCTCTACCCTTTAGCTCAGTGCGGATGTTGCCTGTAATCCATGGCTTCTGGTTGGGGTATGTACGTACGGTCACTGTGGGGACGACGTCATCGATGCACTTATTGATGAAGGCAGTGAGTGATGTGGTGTACTCCTCAATGCTATCGGAAGAATCCCGGAACATATTCCAGTCTGTGCTAGCAAAACAGTCCTGTAGCTTAGCATCTGCGTCATCTGACCACTTTTTTATTAACCGAGTCCTTGGTGCTTCCTGCTTTAGTTTTTGCTTATAAGCAGGAATCAGGAGGATAGAGTTATGGTCAGATTTGCCAAATGGAGGGCGAGGGAGAGCTTTTTACCCGTCTCTGTGTGTGGATTGTTTTCCCTCCGGTTGCACATTTAACATGCTGGTAGAACGGATTTAAATTTCCCTGCATTAAAGTCCCCGGCCACTAGGAGCGCTGCCTCTGGATGAGCGTTTTCCTGTTTACATATGGCCTTATACAGCTCATTGAGTGCAATCTTAGTGCCAGCATCGGTTTCTGGTGGTAAATAGACAGGTACGAAAAATATAGATGAAAACTCTCTTGGTAAATAGTGTGGTCTACAGCTTATCATGAGATACTTTACCTCAGGCGAACAAAACCTTGAGACTTCCTTAGTATTAGATTTTATGCACCAGCTGTTGTTTACAAATATACACAGACCGCCAACCCTTGTCTTACCGGAGTCAGCCGTTCTATCCTGCCGATGTAGCGTATATGCCTCCAGCTGTATGTTATCCATGTGGTCGTTCAGCCACGACTCGGTGAAACTTAAGATATTACAGTTTTTTATGTCCCGTTGGTAGGATAACCTTAATCTTAGGTCGTCCAATTTATTTTCAAATGATTGAACATTGGCTAATAGGATTGATGGAAGAGGCAGTTTACTCGCTCGCCGACGGATCCTTACAAGGCACCCCGACCTACGACCACGATATCTCTGTCTCTTTCTCATGCGAATGATGGGGATTTGGGCCTTGTCGGGTGTCTGTAGGACATCCTTTGCGTCCGACTCGTTGAAGAATTTTTTTTGTCCAATACGAGGTGAGTAATCGCTGTCCTGATATCCAGAAGCTCTTTTTGGTCATAAGAGACGGTGGCAGAAACATTATGTACAGAATAAATTACAAATAACGCAAAAACACACACATAATAGTACAATTGGTTAGAGGGCTGTAAAAAGGCAGCCATCTTCTCCGGCGCCATCTAGTACGTACTGAATGGAGTTTCTACATAGATGATATACAGTAGTGTCTGGCAAATGTGTGGGCCACAAAGGGCTGCCTGCTTGGTTAGTAGTAATTCAATGTTTCTATCATGCTAAACACATGATTTGATTGTATAATATGACAGATAAACCAAGCCACGACGGATTGAGTTAGGCTACATAATTTCTCTGTGCCGCAGAAAGAGCAGGCACTGAAAGCATAGGCTCTGTCTGTGCTGCTCACCCACCAAGCTGCCTGGTGCGCTCCATCACCATGGTTTCACCAGACATCAATCATCATGTCCAGTCTCAATACCCTCCGCCAGAATGGCTGCTGTAAAACCAATCCACCCATCAATACCAGGGGGAGAAACTCCATTCAGTACACTAAATCATCAAGTCAAAGCTTATTTGATGATTATTGTAGTCTGTATATTTAGCTGCTCTTTGAGCAGTCTATACAGTAAGCAGCAAAAATATTGATGTGCATAAATTATAAATCACCCTGTCAGCTTGCATTTTTGGCAATCATGTTTCATAGGCCTCTTAATAGAAAACACAGAGTACAAAGTCTTGGCCAACAGAGAGTGCTATGGAGCCATGCAATGGCTCTATCACAAGGCTCTGAACAGGTTGCTTGCTGGCGCTCCATGTCTGGCTGCAGACTGATGGACAAACTGTGTCAGCTCCGTCTCCTGTGCTGTTCAACCAGGTGATGTGGATTACATTTACATTTACATTTACATAATTTAGCAGACGCTCTTATCCAGAGCGACTTACAAATTACACCCCCGGCATGACATCTGCCACTGACAACACAACAACAGCACATCCATATGAATCATGCTGGGTGTGGATCTACAGTGCCTTGCAAAAGTATTCATCCCCTTTGGCGTTTTTCCTATTTTGTTGCATTACAACCTGTAATTTAAATGGATTTTTATTTGGATTTCATGTAATGGACATACACAAAATAGTCAAAATTGGTGAAGTGAAATGAAAAAAATGACTTGTTGATAATAATAAAAAAAAATCAATAACGGAAAAGTGGTGTGTGCATTTGTATTCACCCCCTTTGCTATGAAGCCCCTAAATAAGATCTGGTGCAACCAATTACCTTCAGAAGTCACATAATTTGTTAAATAAAGTCCACTTGTGTGCAATCTAAGTGTCACATGGTCTCAGTATATATACACCTGTTCTGAAAGGCCCCCAGAGTCTGCAACACCACTAAGCAAGGGGCACCACCAAGCAAGCGGCACCATGAAGACCAAGGAGCTCTCCAAACAGGTCAGGTACAAAGTTGTGGAGAAATACAGATCAGGGTTGGGTTATAAAAAAATATCAGAAAACTTGAACATCCCATGGAGCACCATTAAATCCATTATTAAAGAATGGAAAGAATATGGCACAACAACAAACCTGCCAAGAGAGGGCAGCCCACCAAAACTCACGGACCAGGCAAGGAGGGCATTAATCAGAGAGGCAACGAAGAGACCAAAGATAACCCTGAAGGAGCTGCAAAGATCCACAACGGAGATTGAAGTATCTGTCCATAGGACCACTTTAAGCCGTACACTCCACAGAGCTGGGCTTTACGGAAGAGTGGCCAGAAAAAAGCCATTGCTTAAAGAAAAAAATAAGCAAACACGTTTGGGGTTCGCCAAAAAGCATGTGGGAGACTCCCCAAACATATGGAAGAAGGTATAATAAGCCATTTAGCAGGCGCTTTTATCCAAAGCGACTTACAGTCACGCGTGCATATATTTTTGTGTATGGGTGGTCCCGGGGATCGAACCCACTACCCTGGCGTTACAAGCGCCGTGCTCTACCAGCTGAGCTACAGAGGACCACAGAGGTACTCTGGTCAGATGAGGCTAAAATTGAGCTTTTTGGCCATCAAGGAAAACACTATGTCTGGCACAAACCCAACACCTCTCATCACCCCGAGATCATCATCCCCACAGTGAAGCATGGTGGTGGCAGCATCATACTGTGGGGATGTTTTTCATTGGCAGGGACTGGGAAACTGGTCAGAATTGAAGGAATGATGGATGGCGCTAAATACAGGGAAATTCTTGTGGGAAACCTGTTTCAGTCTTCCAGAGATTTGAGACTGGGACGGAGGTTCACCTTCCAGCAGGACAATGACCCTAAGCATACTGCTAAAGCAACACTTGAGTGGTTTAAGGGGAAACATTTAAATGTCTTGGAATGGCCTAGTCAAAGCCCAGACCTCAATCCAATTGAGAATCTGTGGTATGACTTAAAGATTGCTGTACACCAGCGGAACCCATCCAACTTGAAGGAGCTGGAGCAGTTTTGCCTTGAAGAATGGGCAAAAATCCCAGTGGCTAGATGTGTCAAGCTTATAGAGACATACCCCAAGAGACTTGCAGCTGTAATTGCTGCAAAAGGTGGCTCTACAAAGTATTGACTTTGGGGGGGGGGGGGGGGGGGGGGGGTGAATAGTTATGCACGCTCAAGTTTTCAGTTTTTTTGTAAGGCAACAAAATAGGAAAAATGCGAAGGGGCGTGAATACTTTCGCATGCCACTCTATTTTTGGTTTATCATTCTCTAATTTTACATTGTGGTGAACAGCTCCTTGTTTAGGAAAGTTCTCACACAGGTCAAATTATCTCTTTCATTTGGCCTGTCAGTTGTAGAATGTCATAAGTTATGTGCCTGTGGAAGCCAATTTGGCCATTCCACAGTGAGGGAGTATGCACTGATGCAGTCACCCGTCCACTATGTCCCACCGGGGTGCCAGTGACTGGGCTGCTGAGGCGAAAGGAGTGGGATTGGTCTACAGTGGTCAACTTCCAGAGCGACCCCCCTTCATCCTCTCTCCCAGCCCAGTGAGGGTGCACGCCACCGAGGCACACACACCATGACCACGGGGCGTACGCCAGCCGAGACCAGGCTAGACCTGGAGGACATAGAGGAGCAGGAGGAGACCCCTCTGTGGGTCCCACCCCTGGGGATCCCTCCAGGCAGACACACTGCAGAGGGACTACTGGAGGAAGTAGTGGAGGTAGAGGCAGAGGAACCAGCCCAGGAGGAGGACTCCACCCACAGTGACACCAGGCTTCTGGTCAAGGACAGGGACCCAAGGGGAGTCAACAAGTGTCTAAAGGTAACTGACACACACAGCAGCACAGCCTGGTAAACAGCGAGGTAAAGTGGAGGTTTAGACAGACAGACAGCACTCTGTGGGAGATAAAAGCACTGTGTGTGTTTGCCCATACTCCACATACAGTACCACACATCCCCTGTCTGTTGACTCCAGATAATGGAAGGGGAGGTTTAAACACAGGGACGAAGTAAGAGAGACACTATGGAAACAATCCCGTAATGATGTTCTGTGATACTCTGGTAATGTTATGGTTGAGATAGGAAGTAATTTGGAAGGATTTTGGTAGCATACATAGTGCTGTGTACACCATGAGCCGTTAATGGTAAACTTGTTATGTAATATACAATGTATACATTGTTCAGTGGTATGGATTAACTGCCTAGGATTTTATTGAGATGAGCACTCATTTATCTCAAAGCCCATATATTTAATGGTACACTGGACATAAATCTGGAGGCAATGGGGAGGGAGATCTGCCATCCAACGAAGTGGAATCTGATGTTGGAAAGTGGTGTGTTGAGCGATATTGACCTCGTGTGGACACAGTTAGAACTGTGCCTTGTGTGTCATCTCAAAGATCAGTACTCCTCTCCCGCTGTGACCATATGAGTGATGATTCAGGGCTCTATTTAATCTGTATCGCTGAAGCGTTACAGATTGGGCAATAGAAATGTAAAGGTAATTTCCGATTGAGCCAACATATGCAGCGTTTACCGTGAATGCAGTCTCTGCTAACGCGGCAACTTTGACTTAAAATTGTAATCATGTTGTGATGCTGAACTTCAGTGATACAGATTGAATAGAGCCTTCAGTCTCATTGTAATGTGGTTACTTCAGTAAGTGCTACAATACATATCTATGGTTCCCCTGCATCCAAGTTCTGAATGTTATTGGGGGGAAAATACCGAATTTATGGAGAACGTCCTTTTTCTCACCATCCCTATACATAGACCTTCACTAAAGCCCCATGCTAAAGAGAGCTCCCACCAGGCCATGCCCTGACTGACTGTAGACTGTGTCTCCTGAGGTGACCTTTGAGGACGTGATAGCAGAGCCCCCCTCGGTGCGGAGCTTCGATAAGGTGTGGCTGTGGAGCCACGCCCTATTTGAGGTGTCCCGTCTCTGGTGCTACCGGCTCATCTCCCTCCTCCTGGCCGTGCCCATCTCTCTGGTGGCAGGGATCCTCTTTGCTGTCCTCAGCTGCCTGCATATCTGGTGGGTCCTCTCACCTTTGAACTCCTCTGACGTGATCTATTCAATGTCTTCAGTTAGTGCTTAATGGAGTTTAATGATGTGCTTGTGGTTTAAATGCATGGTGTATAGTATAAAGGCTCTATTCAATCTGTATTGCGGAAGTTCATCTTTACAGCGTGATTTACATTTAAAGCAATGTTGCCACTTTAGCGGAGACTGCATTCACGGTAAATGCTGCATATGTCGGCTCAATCAGAAATTACCTTTAAATGTATATTGTGGAATCTGTAACGATTTAGCTTTACAGATTGAATAGAGCCCTAAATTATCTTAAAGAGACATTGACCTGGCCTGTTTATGCTCACTCTTTGTCTGTCTGTCTGTCTGTTTGTCTGTCTCCAGGCTGATCATGCCCTGTATGCAGCTCTTCCTGATCAACATGCACTGGGTTCAGACTGTGTGGGGCAGTGTATTGGACATCGCCATCGCCCCGTTCTTTAAGAGTATGGGGATGTGCTGCGGTAGCATCAACGTCCGACTGGCAAGGGACTGATGTTGGGCTCTGCCACCTTCTATGGGAGTGTGGAGGAAGTGGGCTGGGTTGGGTTGACGCACACTACATATGAAGTGGTCGTTTGCAATCATGTCTCAATCTCAAAGAAAAATGATGTTGCTGCCTTCTACTCTGCAAAGAACAAATTGAAAAAAGTAGAACTTGTAATTTTTTTGTAAATATATTAAATTAAATTACATGAATTAGACAGTATCTAGAAATGATGTAATTTCTGTGTTTTCTATTTTGCTTAGTACATTCACAACTATAATTGGTTTAGGACTATCGTAGTCAATTTCATCTCTAAACCACAGTTTAAAAGAAAGTTGTTAGCAATTTAGATTAAACATAATGCAGCACACATACGTGCAAGTGCACACGCGCGCGCGCACACACACACACACACTCCACATTCCATATGCTGGTGTAAATGAAAAGTTCCTCCTGACAGCACAGATTATGTGGCCAGTGATGCATGTATACCCCCAGTTAAATAGGGGTGTGGAATTACATTTCCTCCACTGACTGGCCAATTCTCTTTCTGTCTCAGGAAAATAATGGATCAGGGTTTAAAAGTGAACGCTCTTTCTCTGTTCCAGCGTGATGTTTCCAAGAAGATTGGGGAAGCACTGCTGGTCTGATGTATCCTCTTAACCGAGATGCCGTAATTACTGGTTGTGTCATCTAGCTGTACCGGTTAGAACTTAGAAGCCAGGTAGATTCAAAGCTCATTTTGGGATTGAAATCAATCTGCCCATGTTTAGTAGAACAGAAGTAAGAGCATAGTTGCAGGTTCTAAGATTAGCTCAAACTGAGCATCTAATTTGTTTCTGGACCTACAGTATAGGCTTAGGCAATTATACCTACAAACTGCCCTAGCAGTTCAAATTATGTAAACTTCAAAAGCACTGCACAGCTTTTGTGAGATGCAAATGCACACTACCGTATGCAATCATTGGGATTTCTAGCCTTTAGCAAACACTGCAATTCTCTGGAGCATGGATCTGTTCAGAGATACAGTAGGGGAAAGGGCCAAACTTATGAAGCAACTCCTTTTGTGATACAGTTGGTTCATTTTCAAGGGAAATTGCAGTGACCCTTGCATATACCCTGGGGATACATTATTCAACTTCAACTGGGATTGTAAAAAATCTATCTATCTATCTATCTATCTATCTATCTATCTATCTATCTATCTATCTATCTATCTATCTATCTATCTATCTATCTATCTATCTATCTATCTATCTATCTATCTATCTATCTATCTATCTATCTATCTATCTATCTATCTATCTATCTATCTATCTATCTATCTATCTATCTATCTATCTATCTATCTATCTATCTATCTATCTATCTATCTATCTATCTATCTATCTATCTATCTATCTATCTATCTATCTATCTATCTATCTATCTATCTATCTATCTATCTATCTATCTATCTATCTATCTATCTATCTATCTATCTATCTATCTATCTATCTATCTATCTATCTATCTATCTCTATCTATCTATCTGCCTACCTGCCTGTCCAGCTGTCTCTTTGTCTACCTGCCTTTCGGTCTGTGTTGCGGGCCCGCTGCAGTCAGTTTACAGTATTGACACACAGGAGACACAGACGTGCCCACTGTGACACTCAGGGATCTATTTCTGTCCCTCCTCCTCATATGTGCCCCGACCCCCAGACGCTGGCCCCCAGCCACACTCCTCCTCTCACACCACGCTGAGAATATACTCCTCTAATTGGGTTGGCTTCTGCTCACACGCACTCTGATCCCATTCCACCACTCTTGCTCCTTCTCTCCCTTTCTCCCTCTCTCTGTCTCTCTGTCCAAAGGGAACTGGGGCAGGGAACGTTATCAAGCCACTGCTCTGCTGTAAAGTCACACTTCACCCATGCAGTCTTTTTTGCACACTACAGGACAGTGTGTGTAGATGTAGATAAATAGCAACAGGTTTACAATAGTTATACGCTGCTATTACTATTGCTTGCTTAGCTTCCTCTTCTTCCCCCCTCCTCTTTCTCCCTCTTTTCCATCTCATCATAATGTATCTATGGTCTTGTTTATACAACAAGCAAATATAGAATGTAATTACTGATAGGGACAACTGTAACAAGGAATCCTACAGTAAATCATACAATCAATTTATTTTGAGAGAGTATTGACTTTTATAGGGGTATGTAAGCAGTTGGACACATCTGACTCAGTAAATGATGATATATGCCAGTTGAAATTATTTATTGTGCAACGATATCATCATTTCAAATAATGTGCATGTGAGAACGACCACAATTTCTGGGGGCCACTATGGGTCATAAGGCCCGAGGGGGTGTGGTATATGGCCAATAAAGCATGGCTAAGGGCTGTTCTTACGCACAACGCAATACAGAGTACCTGGATACAGCTCTTAGCCGTGGTATATTGGCCATATACCACAAACCCCGGAGGTGCCTTATTGCTATTATAAACTGGATACCAATGTAATTAGAACAGTAAAAATAAATGTTTGGTCATACCCGTGGTATACTTTCAGCCAATCAGCATTCAGGACTCGGATCAACCAGTTTATAAATAGGTTTATTGTTCATATTATGAGGTCAAATCTGCTTACTCATGGTCATCTTTAACAAGTTAATCAGAACATACATATTATTTTCTTCACCTTGAAATTGGGAAGTAGATCAGTGGGGGAAAAAAGTTAATTGTGATGTAGGCTAGGTTTTGCAGTAGATCAGTGAAAAAAAGTTACAGTCATGCATTTAAATTCCATATAAGGCAACAAAATGTGAGACTTGTGCCAGGGGTTGTACTGTACATTTCCAATAGTCACAGTGGGCATGTCAACATCACAGGGTTGCTTCACTTCAGAACCTTATCTGGACCTAATCACGGGTCAGGGCGATGGTTGCTATGACTTTAGTTGCTTGTTTTTCAAACAACATTACTGTATCTTTATTATTCTTTATCATCTTTGAAAATTATTCAATGTATCTTCCTACATTTGTTTATTAAGGCAGGTAAAACTAAGGTTTTAACTTTGAAGAAGTGACTATACAAATGTTTGTTGTGAGGAGAGCAACCAGCATGTTTTCGGGGACACTAGTGGTCATATTTGGTCTCTTAGGCTACTCATTTTTTGTCATACCCATGGTATACAGTTGAAGTCGGAAGTTTACATACACTTAGGTTGGAGTCATTAAAACTTGTTTTTCAACCACTCCACACATTTCTTGTTAACAAACTATAGTTTTGGCAAGTCGGTTAGGACATCTACTTTGTGAATGACACAAGTAATTTTTCCAACAATTGTTTACAGACAGATTATTTCACGTATCACAATTCCAGTGGGTCAGAAGTTTACATACATTAAGTTGACTGTGCCTTTAAACAGCTTGGAAAATTCCAGAAAATGATGTCATGGCTTTAGAAGCTTCTGATAGGCTAATTGACATAATTTGAGTCAATTGGAGGTGTACCTGTGGATGTATTTCAAGGCCTACCTTCAAACTCAGTGCCTCTTTGCTTGACATAATGGGAAAATCAAAGGGAAAAAAATGGTAGACCTCCACAAGTCTGGTTCATCCTTGGGAGCAATTCCCAAATGCCTGAAGGTACCACCTTCATCTGTACAAACAATAGTACGCAAGTATAAACACCATGGGACCACGCAGCCGTCATACCGCTCAGGATGAACGTATTTGGTGCGAAAAGGAGACAGGTACAAAAGTATCTATATCCACAGTAAAACGAGTCCTATATCGACATAACCTGAAAGGCTGCTCAGCAAGGAAGAAGCCACTGCTCCAAAACCGCCATAAAAAATCCAGACTACGGTTTGCAACTGCACATGGGGACAAAGATCGTACTTTTTGGAGAAATGTCCTCTGGTCTGATGAAACAAAAATAGAACTGTTTGGCCATAATGACCATCGTTATGTTTGGAGGGAAAAGGGGGTAGCTTGCAAGCCGAAGAACACCATCCCAACCGTGAAGCACGGGGGTGGCAGCATCATCCTGTGGGGGTGCTTTGCTGCAGGAGGGACTTTAGCACTTCACAAAATAGATGGCATCATGAAGAAGGAAAATTATGTGAATATATTGAAGCAACATCTCAAGACATCAGTCAGGAAGTTAAAGCTTGGTCGCAAATGGTCTTCCAAATGGACAATGACCCCAAGCATACTTCCAAAGTTGTTGCAAAATGGCTTAAGGACAACAAAGTCAAGATATTGGAGTGGCCATCACAAAGCCCTGACCTCAATCCTATAGAAAATGTGTTGGCAGAACTGAAAAAGTGTGTGCGAGCAAGGAGAACTGCAAACCTGACTCAATTACACCAGCTCTGTCAGGAGGTATGGGCCAAAATTCACCCAACTTATTGTGGGAAGCTTGTGGAAGGCTACCCGAAATGTTTGACCCAAGTTAAACAATTTAAAGGCAATGCTAACAAATACTAATTGAGTGTATGTAAACTTCTGACCCACTGGGAATGTGATGAAAGAAATAAAAGCTGAAATAAATAATTCTCTCTACTATTATTCTGACATTTCACATTCTTAAAATAAAGTGGTGATCCTAACTGACCTAAGACAGGGAATATTTACTAGGATTAAATGTCAGCAATAGTGAAAAACTGAGTTTAAATGTATTTGGCTAAGGTGTATGTAAACTTCCGACTTCAACTGTACTTTCAGCCAATCAATCAAGGCTCGAACCAACCAGTTTATAAATAGGCTTATTGTTCATATTATGAGGTCAAATTTTCTTCACCTTGAAATTGGGAAGTAGATCAGTGGGGGGAAATAAGTTAAAATTGTGATGTAGGCTAGGTTTTGTAGTAGATCAGTGAAGAAAAGTTACAGTCATGCATTTAAATTCCATATAACGCAACAAAATGTGAGGCAAGTGACAGGCAGAACCTCCCACCCACAGAGCAACCACCTCCTCTATATTCCACACAACAGAATTCAGTATTTTAGTCTATGATTTTCATGTGAGTGTACAACAAATCTGTGAAAAATTAATTAATTACACAACTGTACCAAAAACTATAAAAGTTTATGTATTAAAATCTTAAATATTGCCAGGTTGGTTTTCACAGCTGTTTCACAAGTTGTTCATTATTTTAAGTTGTAAGGTATCCTTTGATGGTATTTATTTGTTCCGCATTATTCATTGTTGTATCCTAGGACCTACAATAGATACATATATATTCAACCACAAGGCTGTATACTATGCGAGATAGAAAAATGTAATCATAATAGAGGACTACTGAAATTATATTATTTCCGTGTAGATACGGTGAGGGAAAAAAGTATTTGATCCCCTGCTGATTTTGTACGTTTGCCCACTGACAAAGACATGATCAGTCTATACTTTTAATGGTAGGTTTATTTGAACAGTGAGAGACAGAACAACAACAAAAAAATCCAGAAAAACGCATGTCAAAAATGTTATAAATTGATTTGCATTTTAATGAGGGAAATAAGTATTTGACCCCTCTGCAAAACATGACTTAGTACTTGGTGGCAAAACCCTTATTGGCAATCACAGACGTCAGACGTTTCTTGTAGTTGGCCACCAGGTTTGCACACATCTCAGGAGGGATTTTGTTCCACTCCTCTTTGCAGATCTTCTCCAAGTCATTAAGGTTTCGAGGCTGACATTTGGCAACTCAAACCTTCAGCTCCCTCCACAGATTTACTATGGGATTAAGGTCTGGAGACTGGCTAGGCCACTCCAGGACCTTAATGTGCTTCTTCTTGAGCCACTCCTGTGTTGCCTTGGCCGTGTGTTTTGGGTCATTGTCATGCTGGAATACCCATCCACGACCCATTTTCAATGCCCTGGCTGAAGGAAGGAGGTTCTCACCCAAGATTTGACGGTACATGGCCCCGTCCATCGTCCCTTTGATGCGGTGAAGTTGTCCTGTCCCCTTAGCAAAAAAACACCCCCAAAGCATAATGTTTCCACCTCCATGTTTTCCGGTGGGGATGGTGTTCTTGGGGTCATAGGCAGCATTCCTCCTCTTCCAAACACGGCGAGTTGAGTTGATGCCAAAGAGCTCGATTTTGGTCTTATCTGACCACAAAACTTTCACCCAGTTCTCCTCTGAATCATTCAGATGTTCATTGGCAGACTTCAGACGGGCATGTATATGTGCTTTCTTGCGGGCGCTGCAGGATTTCAGTCCTTCACAGTGTAGTGTGTTACCAATTGTTTTCTTGGTGACTATGGTCCCAGCCGCCTTGAGATCATTGACAAGATCCTCCCGTGTAGTTCTGGGCTGATTCCTCACCGTTCTCATGATCATTGCAACTCCACGAGGTGAGATCTTGCATGGAGCCCCAAGCCGAGGGAGATTGACAGTTATTTTGTGTTTCTTCCATTTGCGAATAATCGCACCAACTGTTGTCACCTTCTCACCAAGCTGCTTGGCGATGGTCTTGTAACCCATTCCAGCCTTGTGTAGGTCTACAATCTTGTCCCTGACATCCTTGGAGAGCTCTTTGGTCTTGGCCATGGTGGAGAGTTTGGAATCTGATTGACTGATTGCTTCTGTGGACAGGTGTCTTTTATACAGGCAACAAACTGAGATTAGGAGCACTCCCTTTAAGAGTGTGTTCCTAATCTCAGCTCGTTACCTGTATAAAGGACACCTTGGAGCCAGAAATCTTTCTGATTGAGAGGGGGTCAAATACTTATTTCCCTCATTAAAATGCAAATCAATTTATAACATTTTTGACATGCGTTTTTCTGGATTTTTGTTGTTGTTATTGTGTCTCTCACTGTTCAAATAAACCTACCATTAAAATTATAGATTGATAATTTATTTGTCAGTGGGCAAACATACAAAATCAGCAGGGGATCAAATACTTTTTTCCCTCACTGTAAGGGAAAGGCAGGTTAAAACAAAAACATGACAACCAGACAAGCCAGTGTACGAATCAAAAGGATTTGCATATGAATGGAGTGGAAATTAGCTGACTTCTTGATCTGTAAGGTAAGTCACTTTAATGTGCCAAGCAGATTACACATTTTCTTTGCCGTTTCCGAAACGCAGCAATGTTTAAGAAATTGATTTCATGTTGTATTGTTAACAAGGTACCCAAAAGTACAGTGAAGAGGCGACTCCATGATGCTGACCTTTTATGCAGAGTTGAAAAAAAAAGCCATATCTCAGACTGGCCAATAAAAATAAAAGATGGGAAAAAGAACACAGACACTGGACTTTTTCTTTGCAACTCTGCCTAGAAGGTCAGCATCCCGGAGTCGCCTCGTCACTGTTGACGTTGTATTTGTCCTCTTGCTCAGTTGTGCACCGGGGCCTCCCACTCCTCTTTCTATTCTGGTTAGAGCCAGTTTGCGCTGTTCTGTGAAGGGAGTAGTACACAGCGTTGTACAAGATCTTCAGTTTCTTGGCAATTTCTCGCATGGAATAGCCTTCATTTCTCAGAACAAGAATAGACTGACGAGTTTCAGGAGAAAGTTCTTTGTTGCCTGTAATCGAACCCACAATTGCTAATGCTCCAGATGCTCAACTAGTCTCAAGAAGGCCAGTTTTATTGCTTCTTTAATCAGCACAACAGTTTTCAGCTGTGCTAATATAATTGCAAAAGGGTTTTCTAATGATCAATTAGCCTTTTTAAATGATAAACTTGGATTAGCAAACACAACGTGCCATTGGAACACAGGACTGATGGTTGCTGATAATGGGCCTCTGTATGCCTATGCAGATATTCCATTAACAATCGTCCGTTTCCATCTACAATAGCCATTTACAACATTAACAATGTCTACACTGTATTTCTGATCAATTTTATGTTATTGTAATGGACAAACTAATTGCTTTTCTTTCGAAAACAAGGACATTTCTAAGTGACCCCAAACTTTTGAATGGTAGTGTATATATAATATTCACTAAACAAAAATATAAACGCAACATGTAAAGTGTTGGTCCCATGTTTCATGAGCTGAAATAAAAGATCCCAGAAATGTTCCATGCGCACAAAAAGCTTATTTCTCTGAAATGTTGTGCACAAATTTGTTAACATCCCTGTTAGTGACCATTTCTCCTTTGCTAGAATAATCCATCCACCTGACAGGTGTGGCATATCAAGAAGCTGATTAAACACGCTGGGGACAATAAATGGGCACTCTAAAATGTGCAGTTTTGTCACACAACACAATGCCACAGATGTCTCAAGTTTTGAGGGAGCGTGCAATCCACAGGCCACAATCAACAGCCTGATGCGAAGGAGATGTGTCGCGCTGCATGAGGCAAATGGTGGTTACACCAGATACTAACTGGTTTTCTGATCCATGCCCCTACCATATTTTTAAAGGTATCTGTGACCAACAGATACATATCTGTATTCCCAGTCATGTGAAATCCATAGATTAGGGCATTATTTATTTATTTCAATTGACGGATTTCCATATATGAACTGTAACTCAGTAAAATCTTTGAAATGATTGTATGTTGCGTTTATATTTTTGTTCAGTTTATATAATATAATGGCATATACTGTATATTAACAATGTAGCATCTCTCATATGCACCCATTAAACCCCATAATTGTCATATGAAGCAGAGATAATTTATGCAGGATTATAATACAATATAGATACAAAATGCTTGGTTCAGTCAAGTAATAAGTTGCATTCTAAACATTGCATTCTAAACAGTAATCTCACATTGCACACAAGGACGTTACAGATCCCAGTGACTGATTAGTGTTGCAAATACTGATGGAAATGAACACAAGCATGACATGACATGACTTGCAGATGATATCTCGAGCAGAACTTCTCAAAATCTCTGTTTATAAGGCCTTACATTTTGACTGAGAAGACACCTGAACTTTCTGAAGACTCTTCTAGGAAGGCAGAGGTCAGCTTCTCTCTGCTGACTTTGGTAAGGACCTTTAAGATTTTGGTGTTTTACTCATAACAAGGCTATGTATGCCACAAAAAGATACAATTGATTTCTACCTGTCGCTCTCAAAACAATGTAGAAGTTAAATTATAATGCATATATTTTGTATGGACTGATTTTAATTGTGCATAAATCCGTGATATATTTTCTGAGTAACACACTGTGTTGTTATAACCCTGTACATGAAAAGAACTGCAGCGAGACCACCAGAGCACCACCATTGTCCAGGTCATCATGGGAGTCATGACTGTGTCTGTTCTTCTCTGTGTCCTCACCTTCCTGGGGACCGAGGTGACTGGTGAGTGCCAGCCATGCTTGAGCTCAATCCCATCTCCACTCCAGATACATAAAAACGTTTTTCCATAATTTACTCTCAGGATTTTTTTGTTTGGTTTAATCTGTAATTGTTGTAATTATGCATGGAACATACAGCTCGCAGGGATCTGAAATATCTGTCTTCTCAGGGACTTCTCGACCATGGTATCACAGATTATCCCGACAAGTGGAGAGATTTGCAAGAAGATCTGAACCATTGCCAGATCCGTACCAGTGTCCACCTGGGTTTTCTCGACCCAGCCGTTACTGGAGCACTTGCTACCGTTTCGACAACAGTTTGAAATCATGGTCGGCTGCAAATGTAAGTGTCATGACTGATGTTTACTGACATGCATCCCATTTAGAGTGATGGTACGTGAGGTGGAAGATAGTTAATTGTATTGTTCATCCTCAATATATGAATATGAATGAGATGGAACGCCTATATCACTTGAGCTTTATGGATGATAAAAAGAAAGATAATGAATTAATAAGGATAATAATAAAGTCAATGACATGCTCTTGCTTCCTCGTACAGAATGCATGCCGTCAAAGAGGTGGATCCCTTGCTTCTATCACAGACAGTAACGTGTACGAGTATGCTCTTTCCCTGGTAGAAGATGGATACACCTGGGTTGAGGGGAGCCATGAGGTAAAACAACCTGTTCCTCATCCCCAAAGTACTCTCATTTAATATTTATTTTGGTTACCACTGACTACTAAGTAAATACTGACGTTGACTTTTCCCTTTTCTCCCTAGCAGTCTGGAATTCAGCAGAAGTACTGGTTGACAGGCTCTGTGCGTGACCAGAATGGAAAGCATGAGGGCTGCTTGTCATTGGTGAAATTTGATGGTCAGTATTGCAAACATATTCTTGCTTTGGTAACACTAAACAATAGGGGTCCGGTACAAGGACTTTTATAGGGACCACATATTAACTGTATTCATATAGTTGTGCCACAACTGTCTGGACAAATGTGCTGTACAACCTTTGTGGAACCCCAAGTATAATGATCTAAGGGCTGGATTCAATCTGTATTGCAGAAGTACCGCGGAACATCTGTGTTTTAGCTCGATTTAAATTTAAACTCAATGTTCCCGCGTTCGCGGAGAATGCATTCACGGTAAATGCTGCATATGTCGTCTCAATCGGAAATCACCATTACATTTTAAATCGCATGTTCCGCGATACTTCCGCGATACGGATAGAATCCAGCCCTAAGTTGTATGTAGGTGTTGGGTGAGCAGGAGTGCAATCTCCATTCACTCCATAGTGGGTTTTAATAGCTGTAGACGAGCTCCTCTGGTTAAATACAGAATGAGAAAGTTCAGTCATTTTCATCAGTCCCATTCAGTGAATGGTAAACAGCCGTACCTGTTTTCCATGGTCACTCTTCTTCTGTTCTGCCTTACCCTGAGACTCAAAAAAGACATTCTCCTCTACAGATAGAACAGGTTTTGATGATATCAGCTGTTCCAGTCAGGACAACACCGCCTTCACCCTCTGCGAGATATAAACGTCTTATTTCGTAGTGTAAGGCCAAACAGAGAGTGGATTTTGCCAATACTCTCTGATGATCTTTTTCTCCTATCGCACCACATTGTTCTGAATTGACTTTGTCTAATACTTAGAGACAATATCATGAAAAGTGATGTAATGGCTACAGAATCATACATAATGATACATTGATTCAATTGTATTTTAGGTGGCCTTTTTTCTATTGAAAGTAATAGTCTGGTTTTGCAATGGAATTGTCACTATAGTATTTTTGAAGCTATCTTTAAGATACAGTACCAAACATGTAGGTAATGACAAAAAATGTTTGATTCCCTTACATTCCCATACAGTTATTCTCAATACTTAGTCTAAAAGGGGAAATAGGCTATATCCATTATATCTGGAATATCTATTGAATTGGTGGAATTGTTATGTCATGTACATCCCTCAGTGCTTCCTTGCATATCTTTTTGAATAAAAACATTCAGCATCACCCTGTCTCAGCATGATCAACTTATACCACTGTGAAATAAACAACATCAAACAATAGGGTCACCTCAACCAGCAGCACTTTTATAAATAGTATGTGCACTATCTATTCATCTTTTATTGATCATATTTGTGAACATTATTATAAAGTGTTACAGTAACTAGTATTTGACTAGATGCATTGGCACTAAATCACTGCAATGTGCTGGTCCAGCAATATGCTGTAGGTCAATTAAATACTTTATAGTGGACCTATTGAGATAGTGACACTGCACTGTATTCTACAACCACAGAGCAAAGTGGCCAGTGTTGATTTTACAGTGTAACATTTCTAGTGTTGATCCAGGAGTTAAATTCACTCTGTAAGAGTGTAAAAGAAACCCCCAGTGTTGATGTTAATAACCAGAGTTGTTATTTTACACTTCGGAGAGTAAAACAGTCCCATCAAAACCATGGCCATCCTTATCATATTTTTTATGATTGTTTTTAATATCTGTGTGTTTGCATGTACATTGATTGATTGATTGATTAATCTTATGCTACACACAGATAAATAAATAAATAAAATGTAACTAATCCAATCAATTAGTTAGATGTATTGCACCTGTTACTGAAATGGTTTTTCCAGTTTAAATGGTTTAGGTACACAGTAAAAACAGAAGTGTTAATTTAACTCCTATCGAGTTGAGTTTAACTCTGTTTCAGATAACATTTGGTCCCACTCAAAATCAGTGTAAAATGTACTCTTTGGTCAGTGTAAAACTTTTAGAGTTAATTCTACTCCATATTGTGTAAAAAATAACAATGAAATGTGTCAAAATATTTAACACTGTAGTTTAATCACACTGTTGAGAGTAATATGATTACACTGTATAGAGTTAAGTCAACTACAATTTTACTTTAAAAAATGACACTTTAAAGTGTAATGATATTTACTTTTCATTTCTCTACAGTGTTTTTTTTTTTTTAATTTAAATCATATGATGTAGTGTTACTGAATTATAGAAATATCAATACTATCAAATAAAACAAAGCACAATAATACAAGATGAGAGCACCCACATTTATTGAAAAAAAAAAGTATAATTTCAATGTCCGTGAATTTACATTGTACACCCATTGCCTTGTCTATGACAGAAGTATAACATCATAAAAATGTTCACCAGAGAAAGCAATATGGCACAACAAGGAGAGCTGTGTCATTTCCTCCATATGACCTTTGTATGTCAAAAGGTCTAGGGTAGTGCAGGTTGTCGACATGAAAAAAAACTAAATCATGCTTTGATCTGATCACCTCATATGCATGGAAATGTTCTTGAAAAGTTACTGTAACTAAAGGCACTGTGAGTAGTAACAGTTTTTCACACATTATCAGAACTGACTCAATCTGATAAAACAAGGGCACTTCAGAGTCAACTTCGCCACAGATAACCAAGTGTGGGCGATAAACATACCCATTATGTTTAGCCCAATTAACCTTCATAACCTGAATGCTACTGGGCACTTGCATTGCCAAAGCAATTTCAGAACCTCCTTTTACCATATTTAAAGCCACCATTTTTCCTGGACCAATATCTAACCGACTAAAAGTTGTTGATCTTCGCCAACTATATGCCATATGATTCTGATGCTTTTTTGCCAGCGTTTTGGTAATATTTTTAAACGATTTAAGCTGTTTTTTGAAAAAATTATGTTTGCCTTCATACCTCATACACCAACTATGAAGTACAGGCCCTATTTTCTGGATGCAGCGGGGATAGTGGATAAGAAAATGGTGCTTTGGTAAAAGTTTTTTCTGAGGATACAACTTCTTAAACAGTGTATGGTGATCAACAATCAAATGTTTTAAATATACACATAGACCTTGAGATAACATGGGCGAGAATATAATGTTAATTATTTGCAATAATAAAAGAAGCAGGCCCCAGTGTTGGTCAGTAGAAGTTACCAAATCTCCAAAGATAAGAGGAACATTCCTAAGTAAGCACCAGGACTGAATTGCATTCAGTCCCAGATCATTAGATCCTTCACTTAAATTAACAGTCACAGGCCTGTTATTTCTCTCTGTGAAACCATAATCAAAACTTTGTATTCTTGAATGTATTTCTCCTGATGTAACATGTTTTTCATTCAAATACAGAAATAATAACTTCAATTCGTACTGGCCAACCCCTTCTAACACATCATGCATCACATCAACTGAGAAGTTCTCAGTTGTGTGAAAATACCTCAATGAATTTAATATGCATGACCTTTTCACACCAAAAACATACGGAAGGGATGGATTACAAGCCATTTCTTGACAGTGAGCAGTATGCATATCTTTGGTGCGTAAAACTATTTTGGAAGAATCTTCAGAGAATTCTGTTTGAAAGTCCTCCTTTTCTGCTAAACAGAACCTGCAACAGTACCTTGCACTGAAAGACTCCACCAGACCAAACAAACTATGCAAACCCAAATTATCACCTGTTACCTGTACTACAGTGCCACGTACATAACCACTGTATAATGGAATCTCAATACCATCGCTCTCTAACACTTTAATGTCTCGAACAATGGGAGCAAAAATTTCACTAAAACCATATCGTTTAACATCTTGAGTATGAAATAAGGCGCACAGGTGTATGTTAGCCAAAAAAGAATTCCATTTTGGAGAGAAGTTTCTTAAAGTAAAATATACTCCACCCAATTTATGAATACCTCGCTTGGAACCCAATGGGTTGGCGACCTCAAAATCATCATAGAACATCTGGACCTGTATTGTCTGCTTCTCAGTTGAGAACAGGGGGTGACTTTTAAAAAAAGATCCATCACAAATATCTCTCAGTCTAGAGTTGCTGGTAGCTGAGCTTTGCAACATTTCTGCAAAATACTGACTTTTAAATATTGACTGCAGTGTAGATAAAATTGGAATATACATGAATTTATCTTGAACTACTACCTGATCATATGTTCCAGTCTTTTTATTTCGTCTTGTGTCAAATCTTGAACCAATCACACATTCAACTGGTTCTACTATTTCCCACTTGGCAGTCATAAATTTTGATCGCTTGTATTCCGAATTTAGAACTGTGAAAGGATTCTCTAACCCCTCAAAACATGCCTCAACTTTCTTGCACATTTCTGTTTCTCTTTCATTACTAAATACATGCTTTATCACTGTTTCTTTAGCATGCTGATGAATATCTTGAACAATCTCTTCCATGGAAATCACTACAGTATTTACTGTACTTTGACCAACACCTGCTGCCTTTAGATCAGAAATAACAGCTGCACAACTATTTACAATGTATGGCGAAGATAACTCTGACTCAGCCTCTAAACATTCAGTCGACACTTCAACATGAGAAATATTACTGGTGTTGACGGTACTTTGAGGGTCTGAAAGATCATCTTCTATAGAATCTACTAAACTTTCTCCGTGGCACTTGTTAAGATGTTTTCTAAAACCAGAAAAGCTACCAAAAGAACGTGAGCATCCTTCTTGACCACATTTCAGAAAAAGAGTCCTGCCTGTACATAGCCCATGAATTATCTTAAGGTGCTTAACAAGGTTGTTTGGACTTCCATGGTCACTTTTGCAAAGAAAACACTTCATAGTTTTATCTCAACTAACGCACCATTCTTGCTCGCAACTCAGCAACTCTAGGAGTCTCCTTTGTTTCCCCCATGTCGATGTTATAGATGGTTGTTTGCACAAAAGTGAAAAAGCTGCTCAAGGAAGAACTGTATGACGTACCAAATACGTAATGGGCTTTAAAGACTTCGTCAAAAGCTCCTACTGAACCTGTTGCCTTGCATGGAAGAGCATGCTTGTCAACCACAATGAAGTAGGAGTGAATGCTGCTCTGTGTGGATCCCTGGGCGAGAAGGTAGGGCTGACTGCTTTGGGTGATGTTGTCAAGATGCTGCTGCACACTGGTTCCAACCTACAAAAAAAACACATTGAACAGAATTGTTTTGGTGACTAACCTCTGACAATAGATAAGATCACCTCAAACTGTGCACAAGATTGAGATGATGGAATATATATTTTAAACAACTGTTAAGCATACCTTTTGAAATCTGATGAGCTGATCTACAGCTTGATATGCAGACATCTTTCCCGGCCTCTTTCTACCTTGTGCAGATGGTGGTAGCAAATGTAGCAGCAGCAAGATGGCAGACATGTCACTGTCCCAGCCTACAAATAAGTAAATAAAAACCTGGTTAACATTGTGCCGTAGCATAACATTCTTATTCACAACTTGCACCATTATGGACATATAATGCACACCTACATTATCCACATAAAAAGTAAAACAGTTCATTCATACCATTCTCAACTTCAGCAGCTGACTCAGCATTGCGCATCAAATCCAAGAGTTCTGTGGTGGATACAAGTCCATGGCTTTCCTTTATTACTTTTGCTTTGAAAGTGGTTGGCCACTTCTCCAACAATTTGTTGGCTGTGGCCTCACCAAACAGAAGTCTGAAATCTTGTTCTATCTGCAATGTAACACACAAAGACAGAAATAATGAGTGTTACCTTATTCTTCATTGGATATTTTTGGTGATGCAGTGAATTAAGTTGTCATACCAGTCCTGGTGTGTCCAGAAATCTTGGGAAGACCGAGAAGACATCTGATGATTTGGCTTCATCGTTGACCATTGCTTGCCGATATATGAAGGTCATTTTCATCTTCTCACGGACAGTGTTTTCATCAGCAGAGTGTCTCAAAACAGCAATAGCTGCTTCCACATCCTCATCAGATGGCTCTCTGTCATAGGTGAAGGGCTGACGATCACGGCCTGGCCCACCAACTTAAGACAAAATACAGTGTTAAGAAATCCTTTCTGTACAATTCACAGGTCACCATTATAATTACATGTCACTAATCAGAAAACATACCTTTAGGAGATTTGCTGACTGAGGCACCTCTTTCCTCTGCTGTTTTTCTTTGTATGGTCTTCAATCGCCATGCAAGGTATCCAGAACCACTCTCCGGATCGTAGTAATGATCC